CTACACATATACCTTATATTTCCTTAATTCTCTTCCTTAACTGCTGTTTCTTTCACAATTAAATCCACAGTCAAATTTTAGGGATTTTCTCTCTGTGAGACTGATATTTATGAGACTAATTTATGACTGATTTATGAGACTGACAGTAATCATAGCAGTCTTTTCCATCTTCCATTTTCCACTCCCTTGGTAAAGTAGGGGCAGTTATGTAACAAAATATTAGAATAATTCCCTAAACAGTCCTATAGAGAGACAGCAACACACCAATTCAGAGAAGCTAACTGTATTTGGTCACCAGCTTACATATAAAAATTTAAATCTGGGGTGAAAAGGGAGATTGAAAGAGTCAATTTATCATGAAATCAACTTATCATGAAAGGGTAGGATTTTCAAAATCCAGACTCCACGGAAGTCCAGGACTGACCACATTTGCAAATTCATCTTCTTAGTAATTGAGAGGAAAGCTCATTTTTGTAAATAAAGTTTTGTTAAAACATAGCCACAATTATTTATTCACATGTTGTCTATGAGTGCTTTGCTTCTGCAACAGCAGGGCCAAGCAGTAGAGGCGTGACCATATGCATTTCAAAGTCTAAAATATTTACTATTTTGTCCTTTAAGAAAAAGTTTTTGCTGACACTTGATGTAGGGCATGGCTAAGTTCATAAGTTCATATTGTATTTACTGACTTCTCTAAACAAAAATAAGATTATTTATCCCCATCTATCTAGCTAGCTAGCTAGCTCGCTCCATCTATCCACAGGTCCTACACAGAACAAAATATGAAAAGGGTCTTAGTGACAGCTTACATCTGCTACTCATTGACTTATTACTCTTCACCAACTAAAATGATACAATTTAACTAATATTTATTTTAAAGATTCAGAAAATAGTTGTTTAGGTTTCTTAGCAATGTAAATGACCATAATATAAAGTTGGCCAGGGAAGTTTTTTTTGTTTGAAGAAAAAACTCCAAGCTTTTTGTTCAATAATTCCCCCAGGATAGGTTTCCGAGCATGCAAAAGGAGCATTTTGCACTGCTTGCAGGAACTAAAAGATAACAGCACTATAGCACCCATAGTCTTCATCAAACAAAGTAAGATAGTCCATCTAAACTGTGTGGTTGGGAGGGAGGTTGAGGCAAGTAAAATACTTTCTGGGGTCTGAGTAAGACTAGGGTTAAAGAGGCCAAGAAAAGAACTTCAGAGTAAAGTTGTGTGCAGGCTGGAGATTCCACCCAACCAAGAAAAATGTTTCAAGTCCTTTTGCAGGACAATGTCTCATTCTTACATATTTAATTTATTATATTATCTTATATCATATTAATTTCATATTATAATATAATTTAATTTTTATAGTATACCAATTTATATTATATTGCAAATATAGTTCTTAATTTATTTTCTCAGTTTGATGACATATCTTCAAGTAGATTTTTCAAGAAAGTTTAGTGGGTGACATTTTCTGAGCTCCTGCATACTTAATTATGTCATTTCCATTACCTTCATTCATAAAAAGTTCATAATCTGACCCTATATAATAAAGTGGGGTCATAGCCTTTACCTCTCAAAAATCAGTATTCAAAAATCAGTTATTCCACGGGCTTCTGCAAAGAAGTGTAAACTTAGCCTGATTTTAGCACGTAAAGGAAAAAATCAAAATTGCATACATTTTCACTGTTTTCTTTCAAGCTTCTGCACAAATTTTTCTTCCCCAAGAACACTTAAAATTATCTGGGAGTTTCCAGCTTTGTGCCCTGCACATCTAGCATCTTCTCTCTCATCATTTTGAACTCACTTCACCTTTGTTCAGCGTTTGAGGAGAGCTTATTCTGTTTGTCTTCCACATTACTGATAGGATTTCTCAGTGTCAGATCTGTTCTTTTCTGCTGGTTCTTTTCTGTGGCTTTAATTTGGCTGCTGTATTTTAAAATTTCATTATTCCCTCCACTATCCTTTTCTTCTCAGCATTTTCCCTATAGGATGATGGCTCTTTTCTTATGGTTTTCTGATTCTGTTTCATAATAGCCACACCTTCTTATACTCTAACCAGATGGCTAGTCAGTTTTCCTATTTCCCTTTTGAGTCTTCAGTATGATTTTTTCCCTACTTTATAAACTTTTAAAGATTCATTGTTGAATTTTTAAAACACATTCTAATGATGGGAGATCTACAAAGAAAAGCTGTTGGAAAAAGCAAAAGGTATGTGGAACAGGCTGGTCATCACAGTGCCTAGCCAATTTTTAGAAGCTATTAGGTTTTTATAGTTTAAAATCAAAATAGGATTTTCTTCTCTGAACAATTCCCAATGTATACTGATGACAGTTCCTAGAGTTGTCACTAGCAATGGAACTTTATATATGGAGGAACTGTGCCTTGTCTCCACCAAAACTGCCCGCTATCCCCTTCCATGCATTTGCAATTTTTTTTCCTGCAAATACATAGGAAAAAAGACATACAGAGAAAGGCAAGAGAACAGGATGGGTGGACAACACTTTGTTGTGTTAAAAATATTAAAACAGTAATTACAGAGGCTATGTCTACTAAAATTCAATGGCTTAATGGCTGCTTTCTCCTTATTCTATACTCAATATTTCCCCCTGGGATTTAGGGTCCATGAATGGATAGACAGAGAGCTACTAAAGGGAGTGGGAGCGGAGGGTGGGGTTGGAGATAGTCCTGTGGAGAACTCAAAAGCTGTAGACATGCAGAAGGTCAGCTGCTGAGCCTTCAAGGGGTTTCTAAACTGATAACAAAAGACAGATGCGGGCAGCAGTAGTGGTCTTTCTCTTCACTTTCTTTCTCACTAGCTTTCTGTATTTTTAGATGAAACAGCATTAGTCCATCAACTCATACTTCCAACCCCAAAATATGAGCCTAATAATTAGTCATTGTGTTATATATAGTATGTAGTATAATAATATAGTATTATGTTAATAGATTTCAGTATTTTGTAAAAAGTCATCATTTTCCATTTTCTGTGTCTATATGAATATTTTAGTGGGAATTTAGGACTGGCTAAATTTGATGCAGCTTTCAGGTGCAATTTTATAGGATAAAGCATAGCCCAACTTCTTTCTTTTTTCTTTTTTTTTGAGGAAGATTAGCCCTGAGCTAACTGCTGCCAATCCTCCTCTTTTCGCTGAGGAAGACTAGCCCTGAGCTAACATCCATGCCCATCTTCCTCTACTTTATATGTGGGATGCCTACCACAGCATGGCGTGCCAAGCGGTGCCATGTCCGCACCCGGAATCCGAACCAGCAAACCCCGGGCCACGAAAGCGGAACATGCACACTTAACCGCTCTGCCACCAGGCCGGCCCCTTAGCCCAACTTCTTAAATCTGCTTTGTCTGGCAACTCCTCTTCTGTGGCTCTCAGCTGAAATAAAGGTGCTAGGTTCTGCCTGTCACTTCTAACTCCTGCTTGTCTCCTGAGTCCTTCCTTATTCTATACCCTCTGTGAGGCACAGTTATTCTCTCCCACCCTTCCGTGTGAAATGTGATCTTGACGTCACTCCAGTAAGAGTGCTTCTTAGTGTCCAATAGTCTAGAATACAACAATGTTGAGGATGACACTTCTTTTATGACTTTGAAAACTCAAACTCCATGCTCCTCTAATCTGCACATAAGCTTGTTAATCCTTCCTGAGAGTTTCTGCCCATCACCTACTCTTACTATTAGCCCTAGGTAGGGATAAAATCGAACAATTTGGCTTACGCTAATTCATGCTTGCAGCTGGCTCTTATAAGTAGTCTGCTTAGGTTCTGAACATGCTCCAGGTTCTCTCGGGCTGAGTCAATACCTGCTGTCTGATTTCTGCGGCCTGATTATCATCACGCTGCTACTCTCAAGTGTCCGCCTTCCTGTCCCTCTTTCAATCTTTACTTCCCTAGCTCCAGGAAGTTGTCTTATATGTCTTATATGTTTGATTTTCCCTAAAATCCAGGTTCTGTTTTCTTTGTTCTTCACTGGGATATATATTATTTGCGCAGTCCTTCCTACCCTAACAAATCTTGTCAATACTGCCAGGCTTGACCATGGTGCACTCACTGGTTTAGGTCACTATGGCATCCCAGGGACTGAAGAGTCTACCAAAGGAGCACAATACTATTAAGCAACTTGGTGTACTATCGCGAGCATAGGCAGAAATCCAAATTTGGGACATTTTACATTTTCCTATATATTTTAGCAATTACAAAATGTTAACTATTAAAAATATTTGCTAATTTTCTGAGATTTAGAGCCTTAACAGTATTTAGTATAATGTAGTATTTGGCATTTTTAAAGTCACTAGAAGTTTATAAGGCGGAGAAACAAATTGTTTGATCAATCATGGCTCAGAGATACTCTTATCAACAATCAGCTTCAAATCCTTCTGTTATATTATAGCAATGGATTTAATTTTGTTGTATGACATACTGTCCATTCACATAGTATACTGTATCAATCATCTCAAAGAGTGCTTAGACCAAGAAATATCTGAAAACTTTGTTACAGATGAGTAGTCCAAAGAAGGGTCAAGTAGGAATTCCTTACAGAAACAGTGATCATAAGCACATAGGTAAGGACACAAGGATTATTAGCTAGGTCAAAGCTCAGGTTATTGGGTTATTGGCTAGACACAAGTGATACAATAACAATCTAATGCAAGCCACAAATGAGAGTCACATATATAATTTTAAATTTTCTAGTAAAAACAAGCAAGTGAAGTTAACATATTTTATTTAACCCCAATATATCCAAAATGTTAAGATTTCATTATGATGTCAGTCCTTTTTTTGTTTGTATGCTAAGAATGCAAAATCTGGTGTGTATTTTAGACTTACAGAACATCTCAAATTAGAACATTCACATTTCGAGTGATTAATAGCCAAATAGGACTAGCGGCATCATACTAGACAGTGCAGTAGTCTAGATTTTTACATCATCATACTTTAAGAAAAAATGTTTTATAGAAAAAATAATTAACATGAGAGACATTAAAAATTACTTTTTCTTACCTACACAAATCTTCTTTTATGTGAAGAGAGATCAATTCCTTAGGAATATGAAAAGAAAGTATGCTCTCTGACATCTGCTCGCGGATTCGCATCCACTTATTGTCAGATGTGGGAAATCTATATAATTTACACACTGGGTTCTTCAACACTGGGAAGAAAGAAAAAATAAAAGGTTAAGAGTTAAATTATAAAGATATGTACATCAGATGAGGATCAATTAGCCAAATCATTAATCAGAGTACCATTCTAATTATTTATTGGATCAAAAATTTATTTTTTATCAAAATCTATTTGTGTTTGAATTGCTAAGAATTTTGTGGTTACATCTCATCTTTTCAGTAGTTTCTGAGACATATAGTCTTTATTAAATTAAAAAATGATACATCAAATTCCAATTCATAAATACGGCTACATGGTTTTTTAATTTATGACCTATTAATTTCTTTCTCTTCTAAAGATTTCTTAAGGCATATGTTTTTATAAATATAGATGAAACTATACGTATATATACATAATACACACTTTGAAAAAATATATTTCTGAATTTCTTCTGATCACTCTTAGTCAATTTTACCCACTTACATAGTAGGTGACAACTGATATGTTATTTCAGAGGTTTTAAATGGCTCTACTACTAAAAATGATTTATTTCTTAAATGTCAGAAAGGTTCATTCCTTGGCTTAAGATCCATTACAATTAAAATATTATGCATACTTGAGTGCCAATGCGTCGATAACACACTTGTCTGAAACCACATATTATCAGAAGAAAGACAGGGAGACTATGAACAAACTCTATTTAAGGTGAGTGGGCAGTGATTAGGGGAGAAGGAACGAGGTCATGCTATCAAGAATTTTGAAAAGTTTAGGGAAAAAGTAAAGGGCCAGCTATTAAGATAAGACTTGATACTTTTTTTTCGCCAGGACAGCACTCCTACCACACACTCCCAAGCCCTATATTTCAGAGCAGAATTTTATCTCCATTGCTCTTGCACAATGGATGCCTTTGTTACACTCAGATGCCAAAGCTTAATGGGCAATAAAATATCAGGTCAATCACCAGTCAAGTATCTATGATTATTTGGCTCCAGTTTACCAATAAAGCTGATTAAAAACAGAATTTGATATTGAAATGGATGTAGGGCTTTAAATAATATCAAGCATGGTATGTGGGCCAAGTCTCCTAAATGTATAGGGTAAAATGCCTTTCAAAATTTTAGGGTTCTATAAGACTCTATCTCATTCACTACCTGAATAACATATAATATCCTTCTGAACATTAAAGTGAGGATCTATTCATCCATTCTTCTGCAACCATGTGTTCTCAGAGTACAGTCTGGACATTATTTTTATCAGAATTGATACTACATTGGAAACCTTGATTTCAAACATCCCACTCTTCAATGACCAAATTCAAAGCTACCCCCTACTAAAAATTAGCCACAGTGCTCACTTTTCAAAAGCACCTATAGAAGCTAGAAGACGGCAAAATATCTCCAGTATGTTGAGAGACAACATTTCAAATCTAGAGTTGTATATCCAAAGAGATTATATTTTTAACATAAACACGATCTTTAAGTTTTATCAATTAGATCATATCACAGATCCATATATAAAGTCAATTATGTTTATTTTTTTCTTTTTTTGTTGAGGTATAATTGATATATAAAATTATATTAGTTTCAAGTATACAACGTAATGATTTGACATTTGTATAATATTGCAAAATAATCAGCGCAATAAGTCTAGTTAACGTCTGTCACCATACAGTTACATTTTTTTTTCTTGTGATGAGAACTTGTAAGACCTACTCTCTCAGCAATTTTCAAATACACAATACAGTATTATTAACTATAGTCACCACGCTATACATTACATCCCCATGACTTATTTAATATAACTGGAAACTTGCATCTTTTGACTTCCTTCACTGATTTTTGCCCATCTGCATCCCCCTGCCTCTGGCAACCACCAATCTGTTCTCTGTATCTATGAGTTTGTTTCTTGGTTGGTTTTAGTTTTTGTTTTTTTACATTCCACATATAAGTGAGATCATACAGTATTTGTTTTCTCTGAATTATTTCACTTAGCATAATGCCCTCAAGTTTCATCCATGTTGTCACAAATGGCAAGTTTTCATTCTTTTTTATGGCTGTATAATAATCCGTTATGTTTATATATACCAAGTTTTCCTTATCCATTCACTGTTGGTGAACATTTAGGTTATTTCCACGTCTTGGCTACTGAAAATAATGCTTCAATGAACATGGAGGTGCACATATCTTTTGGAATTAGTGTTTTTGTTTCTTTGGATAAATACCCAGAAGTGGGATAGCTGGATTCTATAGTATTTCTATTTTTAACTTTTTGAGGAAACTTCATACTGTTTTCCATAGTGACTGTACCAGTTTACATTCCAACCAACAGTACACAAGGGCTCCCTTTTCTCCACATCCTTGCCAACACTTGTTATTTCTTGTCTTTTTGATAATAGCCATTCTAACAAGTATGAGGTAATATCTCATTGTGTTTTTAATTTGCATTTTCCTGATGACTAGTGATGTTGAGCACCTTTTCATGTACCTGTTGGCCATCTGTATGTCTTCCTTAGAAAAATGTCTTTTCAGATCGTCTGCTTATATTTTAATTGAATTTTTTTGTTGTTTTTGCTACTGAGTTGTATGAATTCTTTACATATTTTGGATATTAGGCCTTATCAGATATATTTTCGTTCATCTGAAATATAAGAACCTACAGCCAGTCAATAAAAGAAACTACGATATTTCATTCATTTTTAAAGTGTAAATGTTTCAAAGATTTAAGAATTTTATTACAACTTCTATTGGCATATCTCTAGGGTTGGAGAAGAAGAAAAAGTGTGTATTTAATTCAATGTAGGGTCAGTTTGGTTAAGCCATTTATGGGATCTCATGAATTCTAACATAGCTAACATGAGTAGGAATATAAATGCATCCTTTTATAGTAAGACAAAAACTCAGTCTCTGAAATGTCCCAATTTTTCTTTAGTATTCTAAGCAAATATTTAATTACTTGCTTTATCTATACTCAGTATATGCACTGCTTTTTAACCTCTGGTTTTTTTGAAAGATTACACACAATCTTTGTATCTCCCAAACCATGGTTAAAAATCCTTGGCTTTCTCTTCTCTTTTATAAAACAACAATTATTTTTTAGAAAATTTATATTTTGAAGTAAGTCACAAAATATAAAATTCTTCATTTTCTCTGTTATCCCCAAACTAGGCCTTCAACTTTTGATTTTATTGCTTTCATTTTAATGCTCTTCAATGTGTTTTAAATATACACTTTGGTAAAATAGCTTAAGTAGAAATCAAGGGCGGTTTGATTAATGAGCTCTAGAACTCTCCTCTGGCCATCCAGGACACATCACCCAAAGACTCTGTGGGAATGCTGCTGTTTGTACGGGAAACACTTGGGGCAAATAAAAAATCAGGCAACTTGATCATCAAAAAAGAAAAATTCCCAATAATGTCTCCCATCTAACTTTTATGTTATACGTTCTGATCTTTCAAAACTCACAGGTTTACAACATTAGCACAAAACTGTATATACTTATCAGGATCTCAGTGTAGATATAATGATATCCACTTTACAAGCCAATTTGATCTAGTAGCATTCCTTATTGAACATCAATCTATGAATAAAGCGAAAAAATTTCCTCTGTAGCCTAAAATACCATATAATGGAGACTGACCTCAAAGATGAAAAAATATGGCCTGACTTTAACTGCCATGCAAATTTGTTGCGCTGGTTACAAAAAAGACCAGATAAGATGTTCTTAACTCAAAATTCTTGCTGAGTTGATAGTGGGGAGATTTTGTCACATTCTCAGGTAAAAGAAAGGCATGGTATTCATGCATTAACTGTTGAACAATAGGCCATAAATGATGAATGCTTTTGGCAATTTTTTTAATGCTTCTTCCCTGTAATAGAGATACAGTTTCAACAATTCCATTCACACACTCCAGCTGTGTAAATGGGTCCATCACTTTCAGCTCTGGCTCTCCACTGATGCCAAGTATTTCTTGATATAGAAAATGCAAATCTGACTATACGATAGGCTCAGCTCAGCAAAGAAAACTATCTAAAATCTTTTATACATTCTTTTTAAAGAGACTCCTGTGTAATAAGTATTCTCTTCATTTTTTTTTTCACTGTTTTTGCCAAGACAATTGCTAAAAATATCATGTAACAGATTCTCCTAAGAGAAAAGTAGTAGAGACGTCTTGGATCACATCATGGCCCTGTGATGCCTTAATCAGGGTAAAGTTCTAAGCTGGTCCAGATATTGATACCTTCTCCTTGAAGTCTACTTCCTAAGGTGAACACATGATAAAAAACAAATGACAGAATTGTTTCCCCCTAAATTGCAGCACAACTCAAATTTCCATATTGTTTCTCTTGGACACTGTAACAGGGCCTCTTTAACAAGGTAATGCCCATTTGCTTTTTCATGGGATTCAGCAATCGTGAAAGCCAAGCTGCCCCAAGTCTGAATTATCAAAGTAGAGATGCCAAAGAAGTGTTCAACAAAGCCAAAAAGTATGGACAATATATAAGAAAGATGGCTGCTCAAGAAGCCTGGGGCAGAAAAGATAAACCAGAGAGACATCACAGGGCTGATTTCTCTTCTTTGTGTGTGCATTAGGGATGTCAGTGGTTTGGACAAAGGATTTTGGAAATTTGGATTCAGAGTCGAGAGGTTCATCAAAAAGTCAAACACTTTTTCAACAGGTTGTCTTCACTATATTTCCCCAAAGGAAGCTCATCTGTGATTATCTTCCTGCATTTTCTTGCTTTTAGGAGGTAGTAGAAGTCACATATTCAAATGGAATCTGACTCGATTGGCGTCAAGCCTTATAAAATCATTATTCTAATGCACTGCAGATTCTTGTAGAGAATCTATTCATTCTGTAGCTTTCAATTATGCAGTTGTTTAGTAGTTTAATTATTCAACTGAACACACATAGATTGTCTATTCTCCAAATACCACATTATATTTACTAAAGATAAGTCGGTGTAATCCAATTAGATATTGACACTCCCTCATTTGTACATGAAATATCTTAGATTTATATACATCTTAAACGCATGTCGGCTCTTTTTC